GCAGTTATTATCCACCTTCAGACCTTTTACAACTACATTTTTTTTCTTTTGTTGTTCTAGCAACATATTTATGATTCGCTTATCAGCTTATCTGTCTAAGCGAAGGCTTATAACCGCTACTTTAAACCGCGCGTTATCGTCGGTTAGCTGGTTGACCTGCAGAGAAGTAGCCCCAATATCGCTTTTCCGATCTTATTTAAGCCCTTCGACGACCGATTTAGTTGGCAGATTTTTAACTTTATATCGAGCAGCCTCGACATAGCTGATGTCAGATCCTTTAAGGATGCTCCTCCTGCAATGTTTTGGGACATATTCTCCCACTTCAACTTTTGTGATGCCTGCACTGGTTATAAGTAGTTATCCTTTTCATCCGAACTCGATATGGCTACTAAAACCTTTTATTTACCCGCCTAGTAGTATGCTCTATTTTAATAAAAAGGAACCTAGCGCCCTCCAGCGGTTGCCGCTACCTGAAAGGTTCAACGTTCTCGTTGAGTGTTAGGCAACTCACTGCGGCTGCGACCAGCTGATGGTTACCACCTCTAGTCTTGTTTACTTCTTTTCGGTTTTTCACATCTTTCGCCGAAAAAATGAGTGAAAACCGAGTTCAGCTTTCTGCAAAACAAAATACTGATTCTCGTAAGGTACGCTGGTCCACTGCGGATCCTCTGTGTTTTCTGCGGTCAGTAAGCACAGCGTCGTCGTTTTTTTTATGGTGCGGGTGTCTTAAGAAGCAAAACTTTTCTCGAAGCCTGATAAAAAACCTCGACTACACACTTCACTTTCTTCTTCTTCTTATTTTTTTACTCGTAGAGTAAAAGGGTATACCACATTTGTCAGAAGTTATGTAACAGGTAGAATAAAGCGTTTACGACCCCATAATATATATCTATCTGTCCATTCGTATAACCGCTATAATCTCGGAAACTACAAAAGCTAGAAAGTTGGGACTAGGCATTTAGATTCTAGAGTTTATTAGGCAGCTCAAGTTTATTTCAGCAATAAGCCACGCCCAATCTAACGCCCACAAGCCGTCCAAAACGGTTGATATTTAAGTTTAAGTGCTAGAAATAACTTTAGCTGAAATGTATTATTTTCGTCAATACCCATCGATCGACCAAAAAAATTTCGCAACGCCCAATTTAACGCCCACAAACTTCAAAAAATCATTCTTAGAGATGAGATCTTGAAAACTATTAAAGATAGAGGGTTGGTAGTTATACCCGTTACTCGTAACAGGTAGAAGGAAGCGTTTCCGACCCCATAAAGTATATATATTCTTGATCAGGATCACTAGCCGAGTCGATCTATCCATATCCGTCTGTCAGTCTGTGTGTCCGTCCTTATGAACGAAAGTTGGGATTTGGCAATCAGCAGGGTGTCATGCCCACTCTAACGCCCATACGCCCACGCTAAATCCTGTCTAGCGCCCAAATTTGTATACCCTTGCAGAGGGTACAGCTGTGTTCATTGAAATAGCAGTGCATACGACCTGCACGTATAAAATCGAAAAACACTATTATAAACACATCATTGAAACAAAACTTAAATACAACAGTTTTAATTATTTATTTTTAAATAATCTAGCTGTTTTTTCCTGTTGGGTACTTCAATATTTTAGCAAATATGGATAATAACAAAAAAGAAAGACTGAATTATGGTGTTCATTGAAATAGCAGTCTTAAAAGAAAAATATGATAAAATTCAATATGGCTCATTAATAACTTAATCCTACTAAATATCGATTTGATTACGACCAAATATTTTGTTGTATGGCTTTTATTGGCTATTACAGGCTAACACCTGCGTGGCATGGAGTCCACCAAGTCCTTGCAACGTTTGCGGGAACTCTGACCCCGTCCCTCCTGCACAACTTGCCAAAGCTGCGGCTAAGAAGTCGGGGATTTCTTGACAACAAAACGCTTATGTCCCTCGATAAGTTTTCAGTCGGACTTAAATCCGGGGACTGTGCTGGACACGGCATTACGTCAATTTGTTTTTGGCTAAATGTTGGTGTGGCCAATTTGTTGGTGTGTTTAGGATTATTGTCCTGCTGAAATGTCCATATTAAGGACATTTGATCATCAGTATACGACAGAATGACGTTTCTCAGTATATTTACGTAAACATGTTGGTCCACGATCTCATCGATCAAACGTAAGGGGCCCACACCGCTATATGAGAAATTTGCCCATACAATGATTTTAAGTCCATCTGCTTAACGGTCTTGAGATTTTGTTTTGGGTGGTACCCGGTGTTTGATGGTCGACGGACATACTATTTTGAACCTGTTCCACCAAAAAACACCAGCTAAGACTCATCTGTCCAAAGGATATATCGACCTTTTGAAAGTGGCTAGTTCAAGTGGCTTTTGGCAAACTTCAACTTGTCTTTGAGGTGTCTTTTACCAAGTAATTGCTCCTTTGGTGGACTTCTAGCATTCAAATTTTCATCGAACAGACTTCGGAGAATAGTGCCATCCCTGATTCCCAAGCTCACATCCGCTTTTATAGTCCTACAGGATGCAAAAGGATAAGTTTTGCTGAAGCGCACTTTGCGAAAGTCCTCTAAAATTGTGGTTTTCCGTATCGCATAACGTTTTTCGGGCTTCGGTTCATAGTTTATGGCATTGTAACTCATATTGGCTGTACATTTTAAGGGACTTTGAATATATTGATACGTTTGGCCCTCCTTTCTAAGCTCAATCAATTTTTCCTTTCTCCCTTGAAGCAATGAGGTCCTCTACCCATTAAAGTTAAGTTTTTTCTATAGTTATAGTGTATTATGGTTCAATTTATAATAATGGTCTTCATTAAAAACCTATTTTTACCAAATTACAAAGATTTTCGGGACTTTTCCTGGAAGAAAATCAAAAACTGCTATTTTAGTGAACAGCCGAAATGTTGTGTCCGTGTGCAAAAATATGAAAGAAACCCAAAAACAGACCAAATCTAATGGGGTTTTTGCTTGTTTTGTATCTCTATGATCCATTCTACAAAAGTGATGTACTAGCGATTAACTAATGAAAAGGACTATGCTAATAAACCGTTATAAAGTTTCGCTTCTGTCGCACTGCTATTTTAATGAACACAGCTGTATATTGATTTCAGTCAGATGTTTGCAACGCAGTGAAGGAGACGTTTCCGACCCCATAAAGTATATATATTCTTGATCAGCATGACTAGACGAGTTACTCTATCCATGTCCGTCTGTCCGTCCGTTTCTACGCAAACTAGTCTTTCAGTTTTAAAGCTATCGGGCTGAAACTTTCCCAAAAGTCTTATATCTTTTGCAGGTAGTATATAAGTCGGAACCAGCCGGATCGGACAACTATATCTTATAGCTCCCATAGGAATAATCGGAAAAAAAAAATTTAAAAAAATTATGTCTTTGGTGTTTTTTGGCATATAACCTCCTAAGCTTGGAAATAATATTTTTTAATTAGTTCTGAATTTCGAATGTAATTTGATCAAAATCGGACGACTATAGCATATAGCTGCCATAGGAACGATCGCAAAATTGGTGGGAAAATAATGTGAAACAAATTATAGCTTCGGTGTTTTTTCACATATAACCTCCTACGCTTGGAAATAACATTTTTTGATTAGTTCTGGATTTCGAATTTAATTTTATCAAAATCGGACGACTATATCATATAGCTGCCATAGGAACGATCGGAAAATTGGTAGGAAAATAATATGAAACAAATTCGGTGTTATTGTCAAAAAATATTTTTTTTGTCAATATTAATTTGTTCTATTGGGAATATCATTTTTTGTGTTTTTAAATTTAATAATTATAGCTGCAATGGTATACAAGCTTCGGCTTGCCGAAGTTAACTTCCTTTCTTGTTTTGTAAAAGATTAATGAAATTTTGTTTTGATTATGTTGATGTTTGATGTTTTAGGCAAATAATTAAATCGTTAGGTGGCGCTGTTGCGGGGTGAGTAATATTGGAACAGTCGCTCCATCTCCTCGCATTCCTCTTAGCTGAGTAACGGGTATCTGGTGATCGAGGGTGTCGACAATAGCGTTCTTTCTTGGTTTATTTTCACAACTTCTCTAATGCACTTCATATGCTTGTTTTTCCCCCATTTGTATTAGAAGGCTAGCTGGCCCAGCGGTTAGTGTATTTGCCTTATGATCTAGATTTTCAAAACAAAAGAAAAAGCTAAAGTCGATGCCTTCGACTAGCAAATACCGGTTACTCAGCTTAGGGGAGAGCGAGGAATATGTAGATTATACCTTTTTAATGAATGGTTTAGTTTGAATAATTTTTAAGTATTGTAATAGATGGGTATTGACAACAAAAACAAAGTCTTATTCAAATTGTTACGAAATAAAACAAAAAATTGTGGGCGCTAGACAGGTCTGAGCGTTATGGGCGTTAGAGTGGGCGAAGCACAAGAATCTAAATGCCGTAGGGTCGGAAACGCTTCGTTCTACCTATTCAATAATTTCCGACCAATGTAGTGTACTTTTTCACTCTATGAGTTACTGGTTAAATTATCCATTTCTGAAAGTACGAAAGTAAGGATTAGCAAATAATTTGAAAATTAAGAACAAATATACAAAATTACAAAATCATTTTTACTTACATTTTTTTTAAGACTTAAGAACTCTCTAATAAAAAAAACATTGCCAACGGATCTTGATTTAAGAAATTTTGTTTTAATTAAAAAACCTTTGGTATTCACTCAATTTTATGATCAAACGTTCATCATTTAGAAACATTTTAGCATAGGTCCCCTGCTTTATGAAGTCTCTACCTAAAACATATGTACTTTTCCCTATTTAAGCATAATTTTAGTTTTCTTAAATAATTTTAACGTGCACTTTATGTCTGGAATTCTTTTCAAGAAGCATTTCAGAACAAGTAATTGAACTAGACATTTTGGACGGGACCTTACATTAACGATATGTCATGTTTGCTACCTTACCTTACCCACCGGGATACACTACCTTAGAATAAAATGTTTCGAATTTTAAATTACTTTTAGATATTGACAACAATGGATTCTTGGACCAGAATGACTTTCTTTGCATGGCAGTTAGAGCTTGTGTCGTTGAAGGAAAGGGAGATTGCAGCACTTCTCGATTAGATGACTATAAAAAACTTATGAAAAACTTATGGGAGGAAATTTCTGCGATCGCTGATGATGATAAGGTACATTTATATACATGGATTTAATAGCTATAGCACAAACACATACTAACAATCATAATCCAATGGTTGCTTTCATATGGATTTTTTTAACTGGATAAACCATATCCGCATACAAATTTAAAAAATTCAAAGTTAAATTCTTGGCACAGTTGAGTTTATTCTTACAGTAAAACAATTTGTTTTCATTTTTGGAATATGCTACCCTTTTTCTCATATATTTTCAATTGTGTTATGTGGGCATATTATTGCCGAGGGAGAGGCTACCGAAGATCAGGCACTATTTTTGCCGGCATAAGACACGTCGTATTTGGGAAGTGGGAACTTGGTAAGCCTCCTCTTCAACAAATATTTGGAGTGCCTGAAAAATAATATTAGTGCGTGAAGTTCGTCGGTCGACACTCCACATTGCCCCACAAGCTTAGCCGTCGCTTGATAGCAATTCGTTCGGGCTATGTTTCGGCCATATTCTCTCCCCTTCACACATTCGTGTGCCAAATGGATCGTCGCGGCCGTGCAATACGATTCCCTATTATCATGGTTGTCCGTCGAAAGTTATGTCATTGTTCTTGACCTACTCCACTTTTCCGCGTCAGCAGCCCACAGCTCGTCCACTTGGGATATTGAGAGTAAGAGTGCCACTCAGTGAGCGGCAGTTAGTGACTGCAAGAATTGTTTATGTTATTGAAGAGCGGCATCGCTGCTATATATATAATGCGACGTCTTCAACGGCTGGTGGAGAGACTTTTCTTTTTTAATTGTTCATCATGACTCGAACTTTGTCTATGTATTCAATGTATTCAATACATTTTAAATGTTTTCAATGTTTTGATTTTCACTTGTCCTCCAAGTGATTTGTATGGAACTATCGGCCTGTGGATATGTATAAGTTTAATTTTGATTGACTCTATTAACATATTTCTATGGCATCACTACTTTTCCCAAAGTATGCTATTGGCCAATACGCCTCTGAACGAATGGCTCGTACATCTTAACAATTTGCAGGAGCATAGGGATCACGAGTACTGCGGCCACAGACATCACAGTATGTCGGATGTCGTCCTTATGGTTGATTCTCTCCACGTTCTTTTATTACTCTTGCAGCGGTGGTCCGACGCTTAAGAATCTTTCGAATTGCTATTCGGGTCCACGGCTGGCTGTTGTATTTTACCAGCTGCCGGGGTACGGTTACCAGTAGGTCGATTTCTAGAAAGATCCTCCTCGGTCAATGATTTGTTAGGTAGCACCCACTGCACAAGAGAATTGCTGATCAGCATGTTATATGTCTCACTAACTCACCGTCTCACAGACTCAACAGCCCACTGACCCGCCAATGCAGTCAGCACATGTTGTGTCAGCCGCGCCAACTACACAAAACTGCTACCATAATCATAATTCCCTGACCTACTTTAGAATATAGCTTATTTCACTAATCATTAAACTATGCTTCCGTGTTCCAAAATACTTTGCCCCGACGCGATTGGCTTGCGAGTGTCTACTTCGGTTAGGCACAAACATTGGCCGTTGCTCTGGTCACACGACACCCGTGATTTGCCAAATTGCACTTTCTTCTGCCATTACCAGTCTGAGTCTGGTTAGTCAAATGAACACGTCCCCTCGACTCAAAACACGTCGTTGCTTCTCTTGTATGAATGTGAATCTTTGCATGGGGGGGCGTACGTAACAATTTCTTCTGGAGGACGAAGAAATAGTACTACAGTGGTCGCATGACTTATACACGAATATCGGATAGAGACTGTTTGATCTCAATCTCAAGAGACGATTCCCAAGAATTTTTTTGTGGAAGTTATAGCCCGCAATTACGAAGACCACACGGTTATTATATATTTATTTGTATGTTTCTGTAATTCCTGCTTGCGTTTAGATTATCGACAACCTCCGCGTTACAATTTTAAGTTTGTCAAATGCTTTTGCGTCGTTAGCTAAAACGACGATTGCCATTGCCGATTGCCTGATGTGCGTTAGAATTTAAAATAGTATAAGAGAAAGCTAACATGACAATTGAAGATTTAATATAATCGAACTTCAGTTACTCTTCTCCTCAAAAAAAAAGTCGATATGAGTTTTTTAAAATTATCCCTTTGTGTAAGTATTTATAGTCTATACATGAGATAAAAAAGATTAACCAAATAATTTAAAAAACAAAACTGAATATTAATATGGGCGTTAAGGGCCTTTGAGTGGGATTGATATCAAAAGTTGTGATACCTTAAGTTCGGCACTTTTGATTGTTGAACGTGCGAACGTCGCTAGTTTTTATACCCGTTACTCGTAGAGTAAAAGGGTATACTAGATTCGTCGGAAAGTATGTAACAGGCAGAAGGAAGCGTTTTCGACCACATAAAGTATATATATTCTTGATCAGGATCACTAGCCGAGTCGATCTAGCCATGTCCGTCTGTCTGTCTGTTTGGATGAACGCTGAGATCTCGGAAGCTATAAGGGCTTGGCTATTGAGATTTGGCATGCAGATTCCTGAGCTTCATAAGCAGCAAGTTTGTTTCAGCCACGCCCACTCTAACGCCCACAAACGGCCCAAAACTGTGTGCTAGAATAAAAATTTTAGCTGAAATGTATTGTCCACATCAATACCTATCGACTAACCCAAAAAAAGGTTTGCCACGCCCACTTTAACGCCCACAAACTTCAAAAAATCGAAAATATGAACGCGGATATCTCGGAAACTATCGAAGATAGAGAATTGGGATTTCAGATTTAGATTTCGTAGCCTTGTGCGCAGAAGATGCCACGCTCACTTTAACGCCCACAACCCGCCCTAATCTGTGGTGCCCACAATTTTTATGCTAGATAAACAATGTATTAGTCTCGTCAATACCTATCGATTGAACCCAAACAAAGTTTGCCACGCCCACTCTAACGCCCATAACGCCTAAATCTGTGTACCGCCCACATAACCATATATTGAGATCGCGGGTAGGTGGCGCATTTTAATTTCGCTTTACTGCTTGCATATCTCCATTTCCCTTTGGTCCCATTTGCCGAGTAACGGGTATCTGATAGTCGAGATACTCGCTAAGAGGGTAAAAAATAGGTTTTGAAGAGTCAATACATTCCACAATGTGTTTTCTAACTAGTATTATCCAACACCATGATCAGCTAACCGACTTACAAATAAATATACCTTCGAGTAGGGGGGAAGACACATCGATGTTTACATTGTTTATGGGGAAGACAACAAATATGCCACCCTTATAGTTATAATTAATAACGCACGAATAGGTTATATTAATATGTATAGCGTTTATTCGGAGCGGCAGACGGACTGTGTAAAAGCTCGGCTCCAAGAACTTCATATAGACATTTGCAGGCTTACAAATAAGTTGCTGAATAGATAAGCGACAGCTTTAGTGCTATAAGAAAGAAGGCGAGAAAGATAAGCAGAGAGCGTGGCAGGTGCCGTCGTACACCTATGCGCGCATGACTAGGCGATGGCGATCTGCTCCGAACATACTCCCCCCGTTGGAAGAGGTAAGGTTCCAACAATCTCGGAATCGATGGGCAGAACGGCTAGTTTGGCGACGGCTCTCTTGATCAGACCCGTAGCTGTACGGACCATAGCTACTCGGATGACTCCGTCCCCGCGGGGTATGACTTCCTGGATGCACACAAGCTGCCATCTCAAGGGTGGAACGTTCTCCTCCTTCAGCAAAACTATGCTTCCAACCTTGATGTTAGACCCGCCGACCCGCCACTTGCTCCTCTCTTGAAGTAGGGACAAATACTCGCTGCTCCACCTTTTCCAGAAATGTTGTTGCATCTGGGTCACCCGCTGCCATCTGCTGAGACGGCCTTCGCGAAGATGAGTAATGTCAGGTTCAGGAAACTTAGTGTAGCTGGAACCCTTCAGGAAATGCGCCGGTGTTAGCACCTCAAGGCTTTCAGCATTTTCTGAAATTGGACAGAGTGGATAGCAGAAATCTCATATGCAAGAGTTCTTAATTCATCGATGGCTAAGATGGATGCACCGACGACTCTGTAGAAGTGAAATTTAGCTGACTTCACAGCAGCCTCCCATAAACCACCGAAGTGCGGGGGATGAACTTCCAATCGATCCCATCAGCTAAACAGACGGAAGATATCGATGCTGTGTGCTGCTCGCTCAAAAAAAGCTCTTTCAGCTCGGCAAGCTCGCTCTTTGCACCGACAAAGTTTGTAGCATTGTCGCTCCAAATGGTACGCGGACTGCCTCTAAGGCTGATGAATCTCCTCAGCGCTGCGATGAAAGAATCCGTGAGATCCTGCACCACTTCCAAATGAGCAGCCTTCGTGGAAAAGCAGACAAAGACGGCGATATAGCACTTGTGGGGTGCCTTATTTCTGGCCTCTGCCTTATGATAGAATGGCCCACAATAGTCCACAGGAGTCCACCACAGGAGTGGTATGAAAAGCTGGATTGGGCTGCACTCTATTTGCTGGCAGGCTACCCATGACGTGCTCCCAAGTAACAGGCTTCATTCGGAAACATCGAACGCATTTGTTGATAACGCTGGCGACGAACTTGCCGTAATGCGGCGAGCAGCGCCTGCGATCCTCCATGCAGATATTTCTCATGATAATAAACGATGATCGCCTTGGTGACTGGATGATCCTTGGGCAACAGTATCGGATGCCTCTTATCGTAGTCCAAGTTTGCGTTCTGAAGCCTTCCACCCAAGCGAAAAAACCCATCGGATCCGAGTATAGGCCTAAGCGAAACCAGCTTGCTTTTCTGTGGAAACGGCTTGCCCTGGCTAAGAGATCCATATTCCTTCGCCAAGTTAACCTGTTGGATGCTCCTCAAAAGAAGTACAGTTCCAGAGTTGATCTCCTCCACCGATAGACGACCTTTTACCGGCGCAGATTTGGCTCTGCAATTTAAAATGAACCGATAATGTATGCAAATACGCGCTGCACCTTATCGAAAGAGTTGAGGAATTTGCAGTTTGATGAACTGTCTATGCAAACGGACCCAATTAGAGCCA